GAGAAGACGAAAAATCAATTTTTTTTTTCAAAAAAAAAAAAAAAAAAAAAGTTTTGTTATAAGTTATAGTAAATCTTAAATATAACCTGGATATTTAATCTTAAAATAAAGTCCAGAATTAAAAAATTAGTCATGTGAAAGGTTTATAAAGGTATTGGTGATTAAATGAGAAATTCCGATTTCGCAAAAAATGGCTAGTACACAACCAAAGGATACGTATAAAGAAAATGTCATCAATTATATGAGTGAACGCGAAAATACGCGTCCCATATCACTTTTGGAATTGCAAAATCAATTTGGAGAAGAATGCCGCGCTGTTTTACAAGAGCTTATTGCAGACAACATAATGTACGTTACATCGAAATATTCTCGAACCATTCTCACGTCACCTTAGCTTACAAGCATTCTGCACTCAGAATGGAACGGAAGTTCGATATTTGCGATTCAATCTCGGACACAATAACATTATATTTTTTCAAAACTTTGAAGGTAATAAAAATCGTTCGCTATAATAATAATTGGCGTTATTTAATCCATTTTTAAACTGCTAGCGTCCGGAAATTACCGTCAATTCACCATTAACACGTAAGGTATGTTTGTTTTTGTGATTCTCAATGTACGTGAAGATAATATATTTTAATATTTTTATTGTACCTTGAAGCGGAAATTATCGCAAGAAACAAGCACCCATCCCGAATCCAACATAATTTCCGAAAAAGTTTGTAAATAGTTATGAGTATACACGTGTATAATAATGTCTGACAATAAAAAACGTTATTTAGGAAACTCTGACAAATAAGATCCACTCACTTCAAGCACAATTGGATAAATTGCGTCAGGAAGAGGCATCTTTAAAAGATCAATTAAAGTAGGCTAGTTGTTTGTTTAGGTGTGTTGTAATGAACATACTTTATGATAACCAAAAGAATTTTTCGTAGGGGTGATGTAGATATTAAAAAGACATTGGACGATCATTACAACCGTTTGCATGAATATAATGGTATCAAAGATATTGGTCAAATGTTATTCGGAAAGGTAAGAATGAACTTTAAAAAAAGGAAAAATATTTTAAGTTATTAATTCTATCTTATAACGCACGAAAAGTGTGCTGAAATCGAAGGCACAACGACGAAAGAAATGTACAGGCGATTTGGAGTTGGATTCGATGATTGATGTAAAATGTAATACGGCTGAATAAATTATAACGATTTCTCAGGACTAATCAAATTCTAAGATAGCTATTAGACCGCTTTGATACCCTACTATTATACGATAATGATCAATATTCACGGTTCCAATTTTTTCCTTGTGAAAACTATGACCATCGAGATCTTTACAAGGATACTCAATCACTGTTGACCTTGTTTCTTCATTGAAAAGAAGCAAATTAAAGGCACCTATATCCGCGCTTACTAGTCTCCCTCTTCGTGTATCAAAATCATGCGCACGAGATATGGGACCGTGACCAATTCTGTTTATTATATTTGGTAATTCTAAGATCCGTTCTTGGAGTTCATCGATGGATGGCATAGTTGATAGATACTTCTGAATGTATGACCAGCCCAATAATCCAGTTTCAAAAGTAGCTGAAAAAATACAATCCCCGCATAACAGATCGAAAGCCTTAATATCTTTTCCGCACAACGCTAGAACTGTGGTGTCAAATATCCGAACCAGACTCGCCTGAAATAAAAATAATTCTAAGAAAGTATTAACAAGCGGAATTATTGATACCATCATAATCACTTACATCCGCTGGTATCGTTACTATTTTTTCTCCCAACTTCCAGTTCCAAACGATCACACTGCCATCAAAGGCACAGGATGCAATGAACGATTCGGAAAGACTGATGCATCTTACAGCGCTAACATGACCCCTTAACTCATTTAACAATTCACCTGTTTCCATATTCCAGATAAAAGAAGAGCTAGTTGAGAGAATCGAGATAGTAGATCGAAAGATTTAGTTTCTTCTAAACACCAAATTGCTAAAACACACATATGTAGGTTACTAACCGGAAGTAGGTTGATGCTGCAACAATTTTTTCGGTTGGTAGAAAATCCACACAACTAAATACATTTCCATTCAATGTAAGTTTACATTGACCAGTTTCAAGATCCCATATGCGTACCGTTCTATCCGCTGAGCCCGTGACCAGTGTGTTATCTTTTAGTTTTGCATCATTCACGCGATCTTTATGACCCTTGAGAAATTTGATTCTCTGTGCTTTCCCATTTTTCCAGTTGATTTCCTTACGATATAATTTGCGATAGAAATATTCCCAGTCTTCATTTGATGACTCTTTTTCTTTCGCTACTTCAAGTCTCTGATCAAGCATTAATATCTCCAAGCACTTTGTTTTCCAAATAGTGGAATCCTGTGTGATATTTTTCCATCTATGGCTAACCTAAATTCAACAGACGTAAAGTTATACGATTTACAGATATCTGTGAACTTAATTTTTTTTTTTAAAAAAAAAAAAGCATTATTGACTAACCTCACGGCAATTGCATAAATCTTTACCATCAAGTTGTTTGAAAATTTTGATCGACAGTTCAAGCGGTAAAGCGCTGACGATATCAAACCTGTTACAACACTTGTCCTGCAAAATTTGTTGCAAGGTATAGATTTCCTGTGGATTGCATTCTTCAACTAAACCCTCTAAACTAGAATATAATCAATAAAACGGAATATTCCGTCGAATAACATATTATAATAACTTGGTTGCCATCTTACAAGAGTTTGCGTTGTTCTTTATCAAGCTCTTTAAAGTGCGAAATTGCTTTCTCGATTTGTTTTGCGGCCATTAGAACTTCTATGTATATGCTAAAATTAATAGCCAATAGCCATTACTGAAGGCGGCCTTCATAAGTAACTTATCACTTGACCAGAAATTCTCATCAATAGCATTTTTTTAAAATAATTGCTTTTTTAGACATTGTAAGTAAATTTATACAGTATTAAAAAATTTTAATAAAAAATTATTAAATGGAATAATCATAATAAAATAAAAGTGAGAAGATTTGTTTAATAATTGAAGATTAACAAATTCAATCAGATTTAAATTAAATATACTGTATTTTTTGTTAAGTTTATTAGATAGCAGATTTGTAAAAACAAATATAAATATTTATAAGTATATTTGTTTTATTAATAATAAATTATATTTGATATACAGTATATAATATTTAAAATAATAGAATTCTTTTATAATTTGATAAGTTGAATTTATTGTTATTATTATTATGCAATTTAGAATATGCAAATATTGCAAGTGTCAGACTTGTTAATTTTAAACAATATATAGGAATCAAATGTACATTATTAACATTTCATAATTAACCTTCAATTTAATAAATAAATTCACTCTTATTTATCATCTAAAATAAAATACATATCCGTAAACTTCCAATAGGCGATTTTGTTCCGCAAAATTGATTTTTGGTATTTTGAGTTAAAGACGACATATAATACAGCCCGATTCAAGAAATCAATCCACCCATCATTAAATCACCTAATCATATACAACTCCTCTGCGTTGAATCTTAGTACTATCCGAAGTTGATATACCCAGTTGTAACTCTTTATTTATTTCTGCAACCCTCGCTTTTATGGGCTCAACATCTTTCAGCTTCGCCTCTAACATCGCAACTTCTTTGTCCATTGACATGCGTTCTTCCTTTGTTCCAATAGTTGAGGATTCGCACATACCTTCATCAATGCGTAGCAGATGACTGTGGTATTTGGATAGAGATGGTCGATGTGATATGGTAATAAGTGCTACAATGAAATCAGATGAATTGATAAGTGACGGGGTGATACACATGAAGGCAATTATTTGAACAGATATTGTGTTGCACTTACTAATGCCCAAATCCTTCGCATGTTGATACATTAGGCCTTCGACATCAGCACTCACGGCACTAGTGCCTAATCAAGCAAACCAGTTAAATTTATGAAAATTACTAATTAAAACAATTTCAATGGCTCCCAATACGTACATTCGTCGAGAATCGCAAATTTAGGTCGGTGGAAGAAAACTCTGGCTATTCCTATCTATTAAAATACGGAGATTTAGTTCATATGAAAGAATTCAACGAGGATGATAAATCAATTCAAAAAGAATAAAGACCCTTTGTTTTTCTCCACCGGAAAAGACGTCCTTCCATTCTTTTTTAGTCTCCCAACCACCCTCGCGATCAGGTATGTAAGCCAAGTGGACCACACGAAGTATTTCTAATAGTTCCTCATCCGTGCGACCAGCACGAATCATGTCTGCATGAGAGTAAGGGTAAATTACTCTGTTGATCGAGTACAAAAAATCGTGAGATACGGCGGCAAGATAAAGAAGGAAAAGGAGCAAAAAAAAAAAAAAATTATATAAAACTTACTGGTCACGAAGAGTACCTATACTAAGGTATGGTCGTTGTGGGGTATAGAAAATATCTTCGGAATTTGGTCGACTGAGTCGACCCTCTGTTTGACAAACAACGTGATAACGGTGAAATCATGTCCATTATAAAATGAATTTCATCGAAAACATGAACTTACTGAACAAAGGCCATAGTCTAGCAATCACTCTCGCAATACTTGTTTTTCCGACTCCATTTGGACCAGTTATCAGTAAATGTTCTCCAGGGCGTACTTCCAAACTCAAATTCTTAATCAGCTCTTCTCCACCTTTTTCGTTTCCTGGGTTAGGCGCAACGATGGGCGCACCTTCAAATTTGATTCCATCATAGTCAAGAATCACATCGCCACGTACGTCACCCAGTGAATAAAATTCTTGATCCTCGGGGAAATTTAATGGACGAGGCAGGATAACATATTCGCCGGCATGTAAGGAGTGCAGGACGGAAAGTAGAGTATATACTCTGGAAGTGTAGCCCGCAAGCTCGGCAAGTTCTTTATAAGAATACATCATTCGTCCACCAGCGTCTCCGAGTGTTAACAAAATTCTTGATGATAAAAATTGTCGGGTGATTAACATTTGGAGGAATCATTACGCTCGAAAATAATATCGGAAAAATACCTTCTGTTTGTGACAAATGATTTTGTGCGGCTCCTCTCTTTTCCACCAGCGCCCGAACTTCCTTCCATTTCGTTTCTTCCACCTCGACCACCCCATTCAGGAAAGAATACTGGCACAGCAATGGTCAACAGCCCAAATGCACTCCAACAATACTTGATGATAAAATCTTCAAACATGTTGTAAAAAATGCGAACCTTCAAGATCCCGTTTATATGTTTAATAAGTTTTGTGTAAGTGCGATTCAAAATGGATTGCTCTAACTCGGCTCCATGGTAAAAAGCAATTTCCTCGGCATTGATAATAAGACGTGAGTGTGCGGTACGGAAATCACCCTCTAACTTGGCTTCCTGCGCTGACAGCTTGCCAAACGCGGGGGTAACTTTTCTTAATAACCACGTGGTGAATAGATAATTTCCAAATAATGCTATCATATTAACAGTTCCAACGCTTTTAGCTAATTGGTAATTGAAGATTATTGTATCTAACACTGGTTTTCCCAGATTTGAATACAAAGCGGCAAGGCCGTCGCAAAAGCGTGATATGTCGGTGGTGATGAACCTAATATAGAAGTGAATTTTAGTAACGAACTTTCGATGGAGTTAGTCGTCTTTCTTTCACACCACGAAACTTAACTGGTCAGCACCACCAATTCGATTGTCAAGATTAATGGCTTTGTAATAAGCATCTTGCTTATTTAGGTAAAGATCATGCGTATATCGTGTTAAACGCGTTCTAAATCCGATTGACAACTTTGATTGGAGGAATCGTATCTTGAAATTTATGAGAGTGAAAGGGGAGAAAAGAAATAAATTCCGTGGTCTATATACATACACACATATATATATTTATATATATATATGATCTTACCATGCTATTGGTGTATGCTGCTGGAACCGCAATGACAAACCAATAAACTATTCCCTTGAGGAACTCTTTGCCGTTAGCGGAAACCTGGAATCAAGAAGAATAGATGATTTATGCGTGATCAACTATCTGCAAAATTCAGTGCCCGATCGTAGATGATCAATGCTTACCAAATCCCGAACAATCCTTCCATCTAATTTTGCCACCACAATGCTTAGCCAAGTTCTCAAGAGCAGAAAGATGGAATGCAATACCAGGAGAATAACCTCTTTCGACCGAATTCTGGGTATAATGATTCGCAAGATTGCGCGAAGTTGCTTGAAGAAGGCCTTGTTGACACCAACTTTTTGGGGATCGGCGAGGACGGGAAAATAACGCTTGTTCTTCTTAAGTGTTTCAGCCGTGGTTGGTCTTATGGTAACGGTGGACATGCGATTTTTATACGGCACCTTCAGGTAATATTTGCTACTCCCCGGCACAGGACCTTCGCGAACATCAGTATTGTTGAAGGAGGACCCTGCACGCTCTGTTCGCTTTCTGTAAACATAGTTCGTGGTGTAAGCCGCTAGAGATATGACCGCAAAAGACGTTATAGCTTTAACTTTGCTTATAGGTTGTCGTGATGAGACATTATTGGCGACCGGTTCCAAAACTGCTTTTATGGCTGATGGTAGCTCAGCAACAGGTTTGGAAAAAGCGACCATAACGGAAGACCGAGTCTTATTTTTTCTATATCTAGCAAGCTCTCCGTTGAGTCAAAGAACGAAACCACCAAAAATATATATAAGATTGAAAATTAAAATTTTAAAGGTCACATGTTGATAATCACACGTCGTATGCATGTAGTGTTCAAGATCATGGAGATTTTAGTGATCCGATGATGATGTAAGAATGAGGCACCACAGAACACACAATCTCAAAGATTGCCACTCGAGTGGAACTCCCATCGGCAAGAACATTTCCATTAAAAGTTTCCTAATCTGGACGCCAGAGTAATTGGAAACCTGTTGTTGCTAAATTTCATTATCATGACAAGAAAAATAGTCCCTCCAGGACCATTTTGATCGTGCTTAAAAGAGGTAATTTTAGTAAAACTTTTGGTGTGGCAATGAATATTCACATGAAAAATCGGCACCAAGGTGAGATCCAAAAATATAAAATGACGATGAGCAAAAATTTCTCTTTATATTTTTTTCGTGTTCACACTCTGCACTGCATGTAGAATTCTTTTTTTTTTTTCCTAGCAAATTCTTTCCCCAAACTCTCTCTCTTATAAACACAGTACAGATGGTCTCCGGAAGTCCGTCTATTCAAAGTTATCTTGCCGAATGGGAAAAATTGTGCATGGAATTTTTTGATAACAACGATGAAACATCCGAAGCGGTAATTGGACTTGTAGAGTTCGCCACCCGTTCAAACGGCGAGGTAAAACTAGACTTCTCCATGATTGACAAAAAACTGAGAATGGAGGAGATTGAAGCATCACTGATGAAAGTTGGTTTTGTCAACAGCGTTATGCTTCATCCTCAAGAATTCGACAAGTATCTCGAGACCAAACGAAAGGCACGTTCGGAGTGGCATCGAAGAAAGGCCGTTGAGCTTTTTCAAGAATTAGACAAAATTTTACACTCCCAACCTTTCAAGTACACCCCGGCTCATCGTCTCTCCGAACTTAAAACTTACATCACCCAATATCGTAATTCCGTCGGTGCACGACCTTTCATGAGAGGACTTTTAAACGTGTTTCAACTGCAATTGGGACAGTCTACGATAGCGTCCTGGACGTTTTTAGATGACATTCTCACTCAAAATGGAATGGATTTTATGAGATCCACGGTTAATTTGTTGGTTAACGTGTTGGGCTTTACCCACACGATTCAGGAGGTCGATGAGGGTGGAGACCGTGGAAGCCTCCGAACTTGGTATGTGAGCGTCGAATTGAGTGACCGGGAAATTAATTCGCTTCTCAAGGTATTCCCCGGGGAAAAGAAAACGCTTGGGAACGTTCGAGCCACGGGTACCACCGAATTGTCATCTCAGCAAAGATCACCCAATTTAATTGGAACATCCAATGAGAGCATCCTGGGTCGATTGTTTAGGCTGGCCATTAAGATTATGTTTTTCTGGTGGTTTATTCTGAAGTGGTTGATCACTCTTTGCTTTCGCATAATTAGGTTTAAAAGGAAATAGGCTGAACCTAATGCTTGAAAATTTATTTATTAAATGCAACAATTATACCTAAACGTGACTAATCAATCTTATTTTCTGATACTATGAATTGTATTGTATAATCACGTGAATTGTTTCGTGCATATGATAATTTGAAATCAGCCAAAAAAAATGCGTGTCACAAACTTCCCTGATTGACCAGATAGTAGGTTGTCAATAGTTTATACTCTTTTAAGCATAGAGTAAACAATGCAAATTCAGATATTTTGCTCAATCTCAGGCACCAATTTTGGATGATGGGTGAGATGTGTTGCGAAAAGTCGTAATTTAGTTTAGAGGCCTTTTCTCCTTTTAGCAATCAATAACGGGGTCCCCCCTGCAAGCAAAACTGCAATCATCGGAATCTGCGCAGTTTTTTTTTTTTTTTTATTACCACCGTATTGGATCAAAATAACCTGATCGACTATTTTTCACTTACGCATCACATCGATTTATCCCTTCCCCCTCCGCCATAAATATTTTCTCCCCATAACAAGACAACTCAACTTTTTTCCCAGAGCAACTGGCATATTCCTATTATTTTTTTTTCTGAAAAAAAAAAAGAGAGAAGAAATAAAAAGGACCCTTCCTAGTTTATCCTTGCTTATTGCTTTCACGAAACCATGACTACAGAAACTACAACCGAAAAAAAGTCACGTAAGAGAAAGGGAACTGAAGAAGCAGTCGAACGTAAGACGAACCCAGGACGTGCCGCGAAGACTAAAGCCGAGGAAGCCAAAGCCGCAGCCTCTACCTCTGCAAGCGCAGCTTCGACATCTAAGAGTAAAGGAACTAATAAAAAGGCAAAGACCGAGGTATGTTATTTTCGTTGTTTTGGTGACGAAAACGCGTTTTTTGCTCAGTTATGTTTATTATCATTTGGAAACTTTGGACAGAATATTTCTAATATTTGAATGGGATAACTGTGTATAGAAAAATGATGCTCTTCCTAAATGGAAGGTGTTTTCGGAAAACGCCAAGGACCTCAAGGTAGTGATCACTCAACCAGTCGAAATTGAGGAAGATCGAGATCCCGAAAAAAAAGATAAAGAGGGGGAAGAAGCAAAAACTGAGGAAGACGCAGGAACTTCAAAGAATGGGGACAATACTGCCGGAGAACATTTGTACACTCTGGAAGCTAAGCCCCAAAAGTATAGTACTGGCAGCTATGGTTGGTCGGCGTCCGTTCCAAAGGGAAAAATCAAGATTCATGTCGATGGAAAGGAGGTGGAATTACCGGTCACAGTTAACCTCAATATCACTGTTCAAGGTTTGAAGAATAAATAACGTGGTTTTTAGAGGATACGGCATGAATCACGAGGTCTTTTTTTCTTTTTTTTTTCTTGAGACATACGAGTATTTGGTTACTTCTGGTACCAATTTCGCATTTTGTATGATACTTTAAGTACAACTAGTTAATTATAGCAGTATTCATAATTCACATAAGGTTGTTGTTTTCTTTTCAGGAGTGTTAGCTGGGAATTTGTATATAAATTTATACTTGATGTTATCAAAATTATATATTTCTGTTCTGCATTTTTTTTTTTTTCTTCCTTTCAACCACGAAATTTGGGAATAGTCACTTTTCGCTATTTCTTTCTTTTCTGTACGAAATCAAAAATTTATATAATAAAGGACCAAAAAATAGTTATAGACTGACCGGTTTGCGCACGTAATGAATAGATGCTCGCAAGTATCCTTATTCTTATCCGATTAAAGGACATTATTTATGCTTATTTCACATCCATTGGAAATTCATAGACTGGTTAATTTACACAAAATTCAAACAATAAGCATTGACCATTTTCAATATTTTCCAAACTGATATATTTGAACAAGACATTTTTATTATTATTATTTTCATTTTTTTTTTTGTTAAAAATGATTTCTTTTATTTCTTGAGTATCTGCAAGGAAAAAAAGTTCACAACTTTTTTTTTTTAATTGCTTCGACTTCCGACAGCACAATCTTCAAATAGTGAACGCACAAATTCATACTTTTTTCATTTTATTACAAACTTTTTATGAAATAATATGCATAAAATTATGTTTAGTAGAAGAAACCTGCATGCAAGATTTTGAATGATAACTCATTAATTAACGAAAGAACGAACGTGTATGCGAACGTAAGATGTCAAATGACTTACCAATAATTTTACCACCAGTGTGTTTACGTCTTGCCTCGTTATGATCCATGATGCCAGCACTTGTGGTTAAAACTGTCAGGATTCAATGTGTCAAGATGAACGATTTATCAATTATTAAAGACAGGAAATGCATGACAAATGTTTATACAATCATAGAAGAAACGTACCCAAATGACCAAATTGACGTGATGGCAATAAATTGTTGATCCATTTTTCAATATCCTCAATTTTGACATTGAAACGAGGTGAGATAACACCGCATTTGTTCAAGCGACCATTTAATTGAATAACAATTTTTCCAGAACGGTGATCGTCAATTTCCTCAAATTCGCCGATGTACTCTGATTCATATCAAACAAACAAAAAAAAAGTTGTAACTAATGTGTAGGAGAGTAGGTGTAGCAATGCATTAAATGTCAAGGGTGAACATAAATATGCAACTAACGACATGTAAGATACGTTGCCAACAAAATTAATCTCTCGAAGCATTAAAAAACAAAAGTCAACAAGAAATACGACTTTCATCCAGTTATAACTTCGAGGAATATGATAAGGAGTTCTCTATTAACATCCATCTTGATTATCAATTTATTCCTTACCATTCTTTTGCATTACACGAAGAAACTTGACAACGACCTTTGAGGAGGGACGAACCATCACCTGACGTTTCCCTCGTTTTTCGGCGTTAACAATATTGTTAAGGCAATCGCTCTGAGAATTAAGGGTTGATGTTAGGTGAAGAACACTTGGACACAGCCTAAATCATTTAAAGAACATACCAAAACTGAAACTCGAACCATCTCGTTTTATTAAGATTCAAATCGATAAAGATCTAAAGAAATTGCGTAAAACATCGGGATGAAGCCATAATGAGTGTCGCTCTTGTAATTTTTTCTTTTTATAAATAATATTTTTCAGAGCGATTCAAAAAGCTATTGAGCCACATCGGGTATCATTTATCATCACATAAAATGATTCCATGTGACTATTCAAGGAAACGAAAGAGTCGAATTTGAATACACGAATGGTAATAATTTTATTTTTTTCTCGAACCCTCTTTCCATTACGATATTATTAACAACATTGATGTTCTCGGTGAAGGAAAAAAAGACTAAAGTTTACTTGAAATTTCACGCACCTCACGAAAAAAAAACTTACGAGATAAAAGTGAAAGGATCCACAACACCATCTCGAAATGAATGTTTTAAAATTTTTTTAGCCAATCAGAATCCTAAATCCATGATTGGTAATAAAATTTTTTTGCTGATAAAACTTTTTGATTCCTCTCTCTCACACACAGAATAGCCAGAGACTATCTTAATCATGGTGGGTCATTCTATTCGTTGTATATGACAACTAATTTTAATCCTCAACGTATACTCGTGTTTAGATTAATCGAAATGATGATTGATTGTTCTTAATTGGTAGGCTCCTGTCAAGATTCACGAGCTTCGCGAAAAGGCAAAGAACAAGGTTGAGATTATGAAACAGCTCGATGAACTTAAACAAGAGCTGGCCAGCCTTAAAGTTCAAAAAATCGCGGGTGGTGCACCTTCAAAATTAACAAAGCTGTAAGCGGGTTATAAGATCAATTGAGCTCGACATAGAAAGTTTACCGATCCGACAGGATATTTGTTTACTGTTATAATTTCCTCGAACGTATGTAGTCGCGAGGTTCGCAAGTCAATTGCGCGGGCTAACACTGTCATATCACAAACCCAACGTAATCAACTTCGCCTCTTCTACAAAGGCAAGAAGTATCTTCCCCTTGATCTTAGACCAAAGAAGACTCGTGCTATCCGCCGCAAATTAACAAAAGTAAGGCATCTTTTTCGTATGTTATGTCCGATCATTCCTATTTATCTAAAATTTTTTGATTTTTAGTTTGAGGCATCGCGGAAAACTAGGCGGTAACTATTCTTGAATCACTCTTCTGAAATTTTTTTTTTTTCGGGTCACTGACTAAACTTTTACCTTTCACTCAATGACAATAAAAGCACTCGTCTTAGAGAAATCCACTTCCCTCAACGCAAGTATGCTATCAAGGCATAACTAAAGAATTTGGTTAGTTATTGAAGTTGTCTTTGTCAAGTTAGATTGGTCTTTATGAATTACTTATGACGACATGATGACATTGTATAAAGGAATAACTATGCGAATAAGTCTGACTCGACATAGAAAAAATGGGATCAATTTTTATAATTGGTGAATAAATAATATTTCGGATCCACTTGAAAATCGGTAGTTATTAGTAGTTATTTGGACGTACGAGAAATATGTAAACTAGGTTCATACTGCAAGTGATCCAATAAGAAAGTAAAAAATCAGATTGAAAGTTCTAACCTGGGATTACCATTTGAAGCAATTTTCTCTCGACAGACAAATCGCCAGTTAGCTCCTAATTTTCAATTACAACCAGAATTTTAATATATTAACCTCTATATTTTTTATTAAATTTGAGCATTGATTATATTAAAATTATGCATGGTATCTATTAACCTACACTGATAAATGTATTCTTCTTGTGATCAGTTACAAGCATATACTGTATTTGGAAGAATATGCCTTTATGGAGAATCCAATAAATTTAACTTGAGAAAATTTTTTGATCATTGAAATAAAATAAAATTATTCAAATAGATAAATATAAATATAAATAAATATATAAATAAAAATAAATATATATACAGTATAACTAAACCATGTTTAATGTTATTGTTTAATGTTAAAAATCTTGATTATTTTTTGATGAAACAAGAATATTAAACATGTTGATAAAATAATAATAACAGAGTAAGAAGAAACAAATCAAACTTTCAAAAAAATAAAATGTTATTTTGATAAAAGTTAACTGCTACTGGTTATTCATGAATATTCTGGAATCCATGAAACTTTATGCAAAATGTTAATTCTTTACAAATTTATTATTTTCATTTTTTTTAATAAGAAATGTTATATTGTTAAAATGTATCTAAATGATATTATATTATATTTACAGTATATATTTGATTTCTTTTTTTATGAATTATAATAATAAAGCATCATATAGTCTGACAAGTTTGATAATAAAATAATAGTATAAATATTTTTAAGTATCTTGTTTTATTTGAATAATTATCTATTTTATATTTCTATTATATTTTTTTATTAATTTATAAAAAAGTTAAAATAAAAATTTTTAAAAAAAATTTAAATATAAATATTAATATAATATACTGTATTTACATAGATCATTTAATAATTGAATAATTAATTATTAAGTAAATCAAAATATAGAGATTTTTGCTCACTACTGTATATATGCATTAATTTTCAATTCGTTCTTCCTTTATAGCACGCCTTGTGAAAATCCTTTAGCAAAGAATTGAACATTGTTATCCAAGATTTTATAGTGCAGCGTAGAAGGTCTAAACCATTTTTCTGCGTTTCCCGGGCCGCGGGCTATAGTAATCTATATAAAACGAACATTTGTAACATAGTCAAAAGTCAAAAGGACACAACAATTAAATTGATCCAATCCTCACCTCACCAGAAACATCCCTACTAAATCCAGTTCCTAATCCACGCACGGAAAGCAAAAATTCAGATTGATATATTAATGATTTTACAAAAATTTCTTGATCTAAATCTACGCGACTGCCATTCGAAGACTCTATTATGTCATCATCGGCGTGAATTAGGGTAAGTATTGTTCCATCATACTAAATTATGAAAAGGACCTTGATAAGTAAGCTATGAAATTGAAATTTTACGTTGATCATTAATCACCTTTTCGACCAATACTCGACAGGCTCTCCAAAATTCCAAAATATCTTTTACTTGAAAGCCTGAATAAGCCAGCGCACTTAAATCATCAAAGATCAACAAAACATTTGAGTCCTGGGATGAATGACGCGTTACTACAATATTTTTTATGTTAGAGTAAAAATTTTGCAGGGTTTCCTTCATGTAAAGCGAAGTCGTGTCGTTATTTGAACTATTCAAGGTGCTTTCAGAAGCGGAGGTAGATAGTACAGCGGCTGGAGGTGGGGAAATTGCGGTCGAGGCGGTTGCATTCGCAGGCGAATGTAAAGACGTTAAACCGTCTACAAAGGAGAGAATACCTTTTTGGACTGCAAGTGTCAGGTTTACACCCTGAAAAATAAAAATTGTGGAAAACAACTACACTATAGGAAAAAACGCATTCATTCATTATTACTAGACGCGTACCAATTTTCTTTCAATGCTCAAATAGTGATTAAGAATCTGGGATATTCCTACTAAGACTACATGTTTGTTAGATTTGATTTGATTTACAATAAAATGGTGGATTAAAAAATTTCCTTGGGAGAGTAGAGTGTCTGTTATTAGTATCGATGTCTTAACGGGAACAAGATTATTTTTGTTGGGAAAGGATAGAGCAACATCTAAGGTTTGATAACCCATATCTTAAAAGATTTAAAAGGAGGAGTCGCACAAAAATTGTTCATATATGTAATGACGTAAAAGATCGTGTAACAATGATTGCATTTTTTCAATATATAGCTCTTATCCAATGTACTCTTTTTCTCAATTACCATCGAATTCAAAATGTCTCGCCCTGAACATCAAGCACCACCAGAAATTGTGAGTAACATTTTGATCGTTTTGTTACTTAAGAATTGTTATTATGATGTGCTAATAACGCGAACGCGCCTCACTATTCTCGTTCTTAGTATTATAATGACGACGAAGCAAAGAAGTATACGTCGAAGTAAACAATCGATTGAAATACTTTTTTCTTTCAAATCGCGGAAAACCATTTGTCATTGGATTAACTTTATTTTTTTTTTTCGCGATTCACTATTTAGCACTCGAATACAAAGTGTTCAAGCTGAAATGGTACTTCTCATGCTTATCGTACTTTTGTATATGCTATGCGTTTTTATCTATGAATTTTATATGGTGGAAATTTGGGAAGTTGTAAAACATGGTGTTCAAACGAACCGTCATACACAATTTTGATCTTCATTCACAATCAATCCCAAAATAGTGATGTTACATTCTCATTTATAAATCTCTCACCATAAAGACGTATAGAGCTCTTGAATTGCTAAGTTTACCTGAAAATGAATCATCTTTTTTACTCGACATTGGATGTGGGTCTGGTTTAAGCGGTGAAATTTTGGATGAAGAGGGTTACATTTGGGTTGGAATGGACATTTCACCTGCTATGTTACGTGAGTTAATCACATTAATCTAATGAGATCCACATGTTTGATTTGCGTTTACGTATCCTTCTCCCATTGTTGATGGTTACAGAAGTCGCATTAGAGAGAGAAGTCGAAGGTGATTTGTTCTTACAAGATGTTGGTCAGGGAATGGCATTTCGCCCGGGTACATTTGATGGCGCAATAAGGTAATTGAAGGGGTGATTCTTGTTACTGATCTTTCCATTCTCGTAAGTCTAACAATTATCTTACATTGTTCAGCATTTCCGTCTTACAATGGCTATGCAACGCGGATCACACCTCACATAACCCCAAAACACGATTGACTAGGTTCTTTTCTACATTATATTCATCATTGCGTCGCGGTGCTCGTGCCGTGTTTCAATTTTATCCCGAAAATGACGATCAGTGTGAACTGATAATGAACACTGCTATGAGGTGTGGATTTGAAGGTGGTCTCGTAGTTGATTACCCAAATAGCAAAAAGGCAAAAAAGTATTTTCTATGTTTATTTGCTGGTCAGAGTGCTCCAGGAGTTAAACAACAGATGCCAAAAGCTTTAGGCGAGGACGCTGAAAGTGAACCCAATACTGTGGTTTATTCAAGTCGGAGGTAAGGCATTTTAAATAATTTTGAGGTGATACGGTGAGAAAAATATATTTTTTTTCCTAAGAACCATCCAAACTTTTTGAATGTAGAATAAATGAACAGCAACATAGAAAGAAAGGAAAACAACGAAAATCAATCAAGGAAAGGGACTGGATTTTGCATAAAAAAGAGGTAGCACGGATGAGAGGAAAGAAGGACGTACCGATGGATTCAAAATACACGGGACGAAAGAGGAATCCAAAATTTTAGAAACCTAAATTTTCATATCAGAGATAGTTTCAGATGAAATTCACTGGTCGCCATTGTTTAATAAATAAAATAGTCTGTTATTTAATGCTGTTCTAATCTTAAAACTCGACTTATTCGGTTTGGTCTCCTGACTCTTCGGATTCGTCTTTCTTTTTATCGATTTCTTCCTCAGTTTTCTGTTTTTTATTTAATTCCTTCTTTTTTTGTTTTTTCTTTTGTCTCTTTGCTCTTTTTTTAGCCGTTTTTTCCTCCTCTTGTGCCTTTATTGCCGCATGTTTTTCTTCGAAATCGCGTTTCTCTTCCTCCTGTAATATGGCATGTTAATTTGATTCATTGTGTTATGCTAGGAACACAAAAACCCAAGTTTTAATACCTTCTTCGCTTCTTCTTCCATGATCTTTAGTCGTGTGTATTCCCTTCGACGATGTGCCCTATACACGTGAAATTCGCCGCTGCCAGCACCCGCGCTTGAGCCTTGTTACAAATAACAAAACGATACGATATATAAATACGGAAATGCCTTTCGCAGAGTTTATGTGTTAAATCATTAAAAATCATAATACCTTGAACATTTCTAACAATATCCTTCGGTGCCTTTAACTTCGGTTTGTCCGTTATTTCCGGTATGTTCACGGGTTTCTCAACTCTTTGCAACAAACGTTCTAGTTGCTGTCTTTGAATATCTACGGGCTTTAGCCGATGTTTATTTTTCCTTACATCTAGCTCGTTCTCACTATCATCAGAGTCCGATTCTTTGAAAGATTCATGTTCTTTGGTTTCCATTTTCTAATAACATTTTATACTTGTGCATTTCATGTATTTATAACTGTGTTTATTATCACATGATATGATCTCGTGACAAGTGCGACATCGAATATCAAAATATTTGTATATAACTTTATATGGAATTTTTGCTTACACATGTGACCCTTACCAATGGACAGGACGTTTAACAACACAGATTGTAACGGAAATTTGCTGCTGCGGAAATCCATATGAAATGAAACGTGTTGTACGACTGAGAAAAAATTTTTTTATTTAGATCAAAAAAATTTTTTTTTTTTTTTTTTACCGCCTATCACGAAGCCAGAGTAGTTGGCATAAGAAGGTAGCTGATAATAAGAGTTCTACATCAATTAGATCTTTTTCATTCTCTAAAGGCGCCTAGTGGTTTTAACGAAACTTATTTATACCCTCGTTGTTATTACTTCCAATTCCTTTCGAAAATCCTTTTTCTACTCTTTGATCTCAACGTCAACCAATGCCCTCGACCAAAACTTCAAGCAAAATGGCCCTTTCCTCTCCAACAGACACTTCTGAGCGGAAGTTAAAGAGACGAAAATTAAATTCAAATGACAGACAAGAGAAACTTAAAGTGGATAGAATGAAACAAGAATTCACAGCGATGACTACCGTTATCTTTAACTCTATAACGTCTAAGAAACAAGTAACTTACTTTTTTTTTTATTTTCACATCTCTGAATCAGATAGATCCAAGTCAATCTAGTTAAGGCTATCGAGTTATTACTCATGTTTTGCTACTCAAAGAACTTCTAAATCCATTATTCTCATATGGTTGATTTTCATTATCTTTACCAAGGGTGATGATACAAAATACAACGAACTCGTACAACAAATTAAAAATCATGCAGATCAAAAGACCCTCAGTGCAAAAAAAGTTCGGCTTTGGGTGTTAGCCTTTTCTCGTGCCACGACAATGCTTGATGTTTCTTGCAGCGGACTGGTCAGTTTCGTATTGAAATTAAATTGGACCGAATATGACAACAATCTGGTCGTGACTTTTGTGATGTTCCTTGCGAATCTCATCTCTTCACATTCAGATCACATGCCAGCTGTACTCAATATGTTGGTCAAAAACTTTGTGTTCAGTGTGTATCTTGTTCCTTCTCTTTGTATTATTATCTCGATTGCATATTTAAAGTTGACCATATCTTATTGATCATACCAATTAATTTATATAAAGGAGTGGATAAGTATGGGTCGGTACCAAAAAATCTCGAAAATATACATGGGCGAGTCCATTATGCGCTCAAAAACATTTTCCCGATGGTTCCCAGTGGTTCTGATGAATTGTTTGAAATTTTGTCAAGAGAATTTCCTCACAAGAGTGAACCCTTGACGGCTCAAGTGACCTATCTGAAAAATCTCTTGCAATTACTTCAATATATTCCGAGCTTACAAGCTCAGGTCTTGGAGTTGATATTTGAGCGTATAATTGAACTCGACGTAGGTGATCTTTTGCTAATGGAAATCGCGTGGTCATGATGAAAACAATGAATACATAATTTACCGTGACTTTCTGTTTGCAATAGACTGAAGTGCAAGGTAAGATGCATGAGATCGAGGCACTAGAAGATTCTTCTTATAAATACGACTTGAATCTCCACTCTGACGTTGGCAGTGCAACCAGCAGCCAAAGATCTAGGGGGCGATCACACATGAGTACCTCTTCTCAAAGTTCATATAACGGTGACTTTGATTACAATTCGGATGATAATGACTCGGATAGTGTAGAGGATGCTACTCCATGCATTGTTGCTCTTGATGTTGGTGAACTCATAGAAAAACTAGATTGCATGATTAAGCTTGTTTTCGATTTTTTGAAGTGGTGCTTCGATAACTCGGGGTATGATCAGCGGGAAGATCTGTTTGACATTCTGATGAACATCTTTGAAGAAAACATTTTGTTCACCTTCAAATCACGGTACACTCAATTTCTGATGTTCTGGTACATTTCGCTGGACAAATCCTACGCTCGGTCCTTTCTTGCATTACTCCTTCACAAAGCGCTAGCCGACAAAGAATCTGAAATAATACGAGAAGCCGCTTCGCAATATGTTGCATCATTTGTTGGAAGAGCAAAGTACTTGGAGTCTGATGATGTTCGGCTATGCGTTTTGGCCTTGCTTCATTGGGCCGGAAGATACGTTGATTGCTATGAAAGTTATTTAAAAACACCGGACCCTCTAAAACACAAGATATTTTACACAATCGTGCAATCCTTAATGTACATTTTCTGTTTCCGATGGAAGGACCTTAGAGAGGTGACCGATGGCATACCCCGTTGGTGTCATGAAATAATGTGTCTCCAAAAAGTTATAAAATCCAAATTCAAACCACTTCAGGTTTATTCCTTTTCTTTTTTCTTTTTTTTAAACATCATTTTGTGGTTCCTTCAATATTACTTGCAAAATCTGACTGTGAATTCTCTTTCTTTACAGGTCTGCCCCACTAACATTGTGCAAATGTTTATTGCGATCTCCGAAGCTTTACAGTTCATGAATTGCAAGAGGGCTATAGGATCAACACGCTACGAAGATACAAAAAAGAAAGATATCTTGAACATGGAGGATTATTTCCCATTCGATCCATTTCGTCTCAAGACTTCTCAATCGTACATTGATTCAATTTATCATGATTGGGAAGGTATTCCAAGAAAAGATCAAACGTCTAAGGACAATGATTGAATAAATATGCAAAGTTATATCATATTTATACATCATCGAGTATTTTAGATATTCCAAAATATTTATTGATAATTCCCCCAAAAAAGATCTTGCATTGTTTCATATTTTTGTTCAAAAAAAAAAAAAAGCTAAAATCATTCAATGCGAATGTAATGTAATTATACCTGTAGTTTATTGGCATTTTAGATTCTTTGTGACTTTAAATAAAAGTTTTGGTCTTATAATCATTATGACTTTTTTTTTATGTGGTTATATGGTAATTTGTAAGTAATTGCAAATATTTAAATTTCGAACAAGGGAATTATGGTAGACCAAGAACAAAGTAAAATAAATATGATTTTATTTATATAGGAGACAGTGATGTAATAATTTTTACAGTACAAAAAATTTCGGTTTTTTTTTTGCCTGTATTATATAATGAATTGAAACATAGTTATAATATTATTGTTAAAATTCATATTAATTCAGAAATTTAAAATCTAATTTTATCACATATAAACCATCCATTATTAATTACAAAAAGGTATACAGTACCTAGCGACTTTTGTAAAATACTGTATTAATACCTCTTGTATTACTTTTTGATTATTTAGTCAAAGTTATAATAGCATGATCTTTTCTAAGTTTGGTATTTTAATGACAAGTGAAAAATACTTTGAGAAGTTTAATACTTTTTAATAAAAAAAACTTTTCAATTTGTATTAAAATATTCTATTTTTTTAAATAAGATGTTCAAATATATTAAAAAATATAACCTGTGAATCAATAGTGCAGTGGTTAGCACTTCACAGGTCAGATCACAAGATATCAGTTCAATTTCATATGGAGGTGGTTGAATTGGATTAAAAATGGTATTTGGCGTCATAACCTGTTAATATGGTTTCAAAAATTGGAATCAAACAGAATTGCAGGGAATTGTATAAGGTTCAAAATATTATTAAAAATGATGGTGGGGTATATCCTACCTATTAAATTTAATATAAACTTAAGAATCAAATACAGAATCAAAAAGAATTATTAAGATCCTTACCTGTTAAGCATTGTTTCTCATAAGAAGCCAATTCACACACTAATCCAATAGGTGTTGAGATTGTAACCTAGCCATAAAAAGAAGTTGTGATGTGATGATTGTCTGGTTGGTATTATGATGATCATTGGAAAATGATCAAAAAAAGTGAAGAAGAAGTCCAGTTTTAAGTAATGATGGTTTGATAATCCTTTCTCATGATACCTAAAATGTCTCTTTCTATAGAAGTAATTATGAAGATCTTTTTCGAAACCACTCTGATGGTTGTCTCTTCGAGTTGGACAGCTGCAGTTAAATTAATATTATAGGCGGTTAGTCAGTATAAGTATCTGACTGTCTAAGTAACTTAGAAGTTGATATAGTATAGGATGTAGAAGATTTCCTCTATAGGGTTCTATTTACTCAAGATAGATATTACTCTAGTATACTACATTTCAACTTCCTCTTAATCTTGTACAAAACCCAAAATAAAATAGATTAGCATAATTTGCAGCACTAATGAGGCTTTAGCACGTTAGCTTTGGTATTTACTCCTTATAGGACTATACCGACAGCAACAAGCTAATATGAAGTAAATCGATATAGTCATATAATGTTGTAATTAAATTATAGATAGTAATTTCTATAATACATGAAGTACATATGTGACTTTAAATAATAAAGTGTGTTATGGCAAGGTCCAGCTGGTTGATCAAAAAAATATATATATTAAAAAATATGAAATTAAAAAAATTAAAAAAAAATTAAAAAATTTAATAAGATAATATATAATAATTATAAATTCTAATTATTTTTACAAATAAAATTTATAATAATAATTCAATAACCATTGAAAGAAAAGATAATTAGAATTGGTTAAAATGAAATACAAGCCAATCTGTATATCCAAATACAAAAGGAGTTTTGATTAGAAAAATTAAATCAATATTTTGTTTAATTACTATAAAACTATTATATTTTTTTTGAAGATTATAATTTCAATATCTATTAGATTAACATATAAAATAACTTCTTATAAGAAACAATACTTAATAAATTATAATATTAGATACTGCTTTTATCTAAAATTAAATTAATATCTTGTAATCTAATCAATAAAACACTAATTACTGTATTATAAATTTACAAGTAAGGATCCTAACGATTCTCTTTGATTCTGTATTTGATTCTCAAGTTTATATTAAATTTAATAGGTGGGGTATACTCCACTATTATTTTTAATAGTGTTCTGAATCTCATGCGATTCTGTTCAATTCTATTCGATTCCAATTTTCGGAACCATATTTACAAGTCAACA